TTTTACTTGTCCGTATTGTTAGACTTAATTTTTTTAAAAGAATGTTATTTGTTATTTTGTTTTTCATAACAATGTTTCTTTTTATTTTATATATTTGTAGCATTTAAAATACGATTAAGTGTAAATATACATAAACTTTTATTCGTTATTTTGCTTATTTCTGTGTTTTTAGTGGTGTTCCGAATACTACCACTACATGGCAAAACTTGGGATACATGTTCCAAATATTGTCATTTTGCAATGTTTTTAAAAAAAGCTAAAATAAAAAAAAATAATTTAAATTATAAATATACGGTATACCCTCCATTCTAGAGAAGAACTGTAGAATGGTTCCTGTAACGTACCAGGTTGATCTAGTTGAAAATTTTGAAATAAAAAATAAAAATTTCTTAGGGTGGCAATAATTGGCTTATGTACCTTATTTTAAATATAGCTACATATATCAAATAAGCTGGTATTCACTAGATATGTTTTAACTGTGTAGTTATAGATATCCTAACAAATTAACCTTTGACTTTATGTAAATATATAGTGGTCAAGAGGTTATCATTAAGACTTCATTGCAATTTTTTGGTTTTGCGTTATCATAATGTGTCTATTTCTATGTTTACTACACGGAGAGATCAATAGCAGGTCAAGCAACGAACCCTTATTTGAATACACATTTCATATATAAACTATCTACTTCAGAGATGGAAAATAAGTGTAAAAATTATTAAAATAGACATAAACAGAATCTAATTAAATAAAATAATTCGAATAAAATAATACGTAATTCTAAAATGTAGCATTGTGCTACAGATAGCGTTCACTGTGCCGTTTGTAGTATTTTCAGAATCTAATTATTTAGAAAAAGTTATTTAAATTCGAAATTCTGTACTTATATTTTAAATACAACTGCATATTTCAAATAAATCACATCTCTGGTATTCACTATGCATGTTGTATCTGTGTATTTATAGATACCCTAACAAGTTGACCTTTGACGTTAGGTAAATATACACCTGCAGTCCAAATAACAACGCCGCGCCGCATCGCAAATAATTGTATGGGTTTAGAAAGTGGAGATGAGCACGGTGACTTATGGGAATAGTCGCTACACGCACACAAACAGTAATACATTCACACACAACCAGCCTATTATACATCCGCATACATATATACGTTGAAATGACTTTTCTAAAGTTCGATTTACGTAAAATTATAACTGTGTGTAAATTTATCAATTATAAACTATTGGGATAATCGGGTCGTAATTCATTACCTTGACGTCTAGACCATAAAGTTCTGCGCCAAATTTGGAATTCGCTTCTTCTAATAAGAGAAATAAACGATAGAGAACGAAAGATAAAATGTGATGGACTCGTGGACCGCGTAACGAAGTAATTTAGTTTGCAAATTACAAACGAGTGACATTTTTACGACAACGGACTCCTTTTCTTTTTACGAGCAGCCCAGATTGCTCAGTGGCGTAACAAATAAATGAGTCATACTAAGTAAATGTATATATATGTATATATAAATATGACGCAAAATTTATAAAATAAACTGTTTTGTAACATCTAAAGCAGTCTTTATATTTCGTCGGTTTGTTGCAAAATAATTAAGCTTTGTCCAATTTGTGAATTCAATAACCAATATTTCGGTTTTCAGTGAAAGGGAGTAGATTATATTGCTTGTAAAGAAGAAAAGTCACTGTCCTTCGAAATGGGCCATCTGGGCTTATTGCAGAGAAATGAATAGATGCGGCGTGTTGCTGAATAGTGTTCCAGTGAGACGCTTTTCAGGGGTGTAAGAGTTTTGTCAGTATTTATAATTTTTATTGGTATAGTTTTTAAAGCTCTTTGGTAATGCCCTATTCGTAGCAATGCTCCTAATGTCCTCCATTCCCTCTCTGCAATGTACCTATCAGAATAGAAATCTGACATTCACATAAACTCTCGATTAAAATTTTAACAAACATTTACGGCGCTGTACGGGTGCGAAACATGGACAGTGGGCGCGACGAGAAAAAAAGGTTAGAAGCGTTCGAAATGTTGTGTTACAGGCGAATGATGAGGATACCGTGGATAGAGAAGGTTAGAAATGAAGTGATATTAGAAGGAGTAAGAGAACTGTATGGATGTCAATAAGAAATAGGCGAGATAGGTTAGCTGAACACCTTCTTAGGCATGAACGTCTAGTCAGAGACATATTAGAGGCAGAAACGGAAGTTACGAGGGGTAGAGGTAGAGAGGCCTAGATTAGATTACTGCTCGCAAATAGTTAAGGATATGCGTCATTCTAGGTTTAGGGAAATGCGAAGATTAGCGCAGGATAGGAAAGAGTGGAGGTGCGTGTCCAACCAGTCTTAGGACTGATGACCTCATGATGATGATGATGATTCCTTTAAAGTAAGATACCGAGCCTCTTTTGTTTGAAAGTTGCAGACATGGTTGTATTAGAAATACACCTACCCTTTCGGACTTCCATGCCTTTATTTTTATTTATAATTGAATTACTCAATCTAAGTGTATTTCTGCATTTAAATTCTCTTTGCAAATCAACCTCATTGTGCGGGGCACCATTAGAAAGCTCATATAAAATTAAGGAGTTTTTTGTTAAAATTGAGGTAATTATGTAACAGCTACGGAACCCACCATGTGGGCGTCCAATTCCGATCCGTTAGTTCTTCATTATTATAAGTAGGTAACTAACTATTCAATGTATTTTCAACACTTTTTAACCATGATCCCAAAACACATCAACAAGCAAGTTAGTAAAGTAATTTTTTTTTGTTTGTTTCAGTCGTTCTTCGGAAGAACTTACAACAATCTGGGCTCGATCTCTGAATGCAAGAACAACGGTCAATGTGTCATAAACAAAAAGAACAGGACAGCATGCAAGGCGTGTCGATTAAGGAAGTGTCTTTTAGTTGGAATGTCGAAAAGTGGATCGCGTTACGGGCGGCGTTCCAACTGGTTCAAGATCCACTGTCTCCTGCAGGAACAACAGCAACTGGGATCAAATATGGGAACGGCACCCGCCTTATTCCGGTCGCATCCCTACGTCCCTTTTTTCCGGACTCCATCCACTTTGAGCGAGGCCAAAAGTTCGGAGTCGGATAGCGGAGCTTCATCCGTAGATTTAGAAGAAGATGCCAAGTCAATGAGTATCCTGAGTTGTCCCAGGACAGCATCCTCGCCAGCCAGTGACACCTCGTCCAAAAAACTACCTTCTCCGGCTAGCGACAACGATTGCAGCTTCGGTCGAAACCTGGGAAGTCTTTTCAATAATCCCGCATCTCTAACTCCAATCAGTTCCATATCATCAAACGGATTTTTTCCGCCATGGTTGAATCCGTTTGCCAGAGTCGGAGATCCCGCTTCGTGGAAGGACCTCTGGCTTCAGAGTTCCGTAGAAATATCTACAAGTCGAAATGTACAAGAGCAACCCATAGATTTGTCCTTGAGACGACTCAAGGACGAAGTGGATGTAAAACAAACGGACGGTATGGTTAAAGTGAACATCGATGTCGATGTGGGAGTCGATGGGGCAGTAAAACAAGCGCCTCTAGACCTGACGCTCGGTGCCAGTAGACAAACGGATGTTTTGTCAAATTGAATCTTTTTGTTGTTGTTACGCGAAAGCGTAGGTTGTGATTTTCCGATCGTCGAATCAGGTTAGTAAAATGAATGAATTTTATTTTTTGTTCCTTTAGTAGTTGGGATTTGGGCAGAGAATATGCCGCAAAAACTCTTAAAGTACCTGAGAGTTATCACATTATACAGCGTCTCAGCTAAGCAATACTAGTTTACAAACAAACCACGACTAACTAATAGAAAATGTTGAATATTTATTCCTTAAAATTTGTACATCATATCAATCTTGAATTTGGCATTATCAGTCTTGAAGTTGGCATTATCAATATGGAATTTGGTATTATCAATATTGAACTTGGATTTATCTCTATGGAACTTGGCATTGTCAATGTTGAACTTGGCATGATAAATCATGAATTTGGCATTAGCAATCATGAATTTAGCAATATAAATCTTAAATTTGGTATTATCAATTTTGAATTTAGCATTATCAATCTTGAATTTGTCATAGATGGTCGAACAAACAGACTNCTAAGGAGACCATGTCTATCTAAAACTGGGTTGAGTCCACGAATGTTACTTGTTTTCACAGTACATTTACCCCTTGTAAGTTCATTGACCACCCTTTGAAAATCCTTACATTGTGCTAACCTTAAGAGTACAATTCGTGCAAGGTTACGTTCATTAAGAGATAGTAGAGCATAATTACATTCTGCCTTTGTGGTCCTATAATTTTTGATAAATTGAAAGCACCATGTAATGGCTCTAAACAATTTATTGGCAGATGAGTTTTGCTCGAGAATGTCGAAATTGAAGCTACTGTGAACTAAATGTGAGTATGTTCCTTGTCGTTCTTCTGGAATTGCTGCGTCTTGAGTATCAAACGGTGCTGGCAGCCCTTCCGAATACCTTGACAACCATGACGGTCCGTTCCACCAAAAGTTAGCATTGCATGATTCTTGAGAGATAAGTCGCGTGCTGTTTGTAGTTGCGTTACATTCCTTTAACTTCCAAATACCTTCCGTTTGATGTAAAGGATTGTCGCTAGTGGCTAATTGTTCTGTACTTAAATGACACGACGTAAGACAGCTGTTGGTACCTTTATATGAAGTTACTATACCACCTAGAATCCAACCAAGTTGCGTCTTCTGTAATATAGGTTGGTCTGGATGTGTTCGTATTTGTCCAATACATAGAAGGTCCCAAAACAATCCAGCTCCAATTAGCAAGTCGATCGGCCGCGAAAGGGAAAATTCAGGATCAGCTAGCGTGATTCCAGGGGGTAATTTGAATTGATCCACACTGAATGCTACGTTCGGAGTGTAGCTGGTGATCCGTGGCATTATCAAACAGGTCATTGTCCTTGTAAAACCACTTGTTTTGGTGTGCATCTTTACTTCCGTCTTGTAGTCAACGTTTCGAGTTGCATTTTGAATTCCAGAGACTACAGTTGTCGCTTGTGTGCATGGTAGTTTCAGGCGAGTCCATAAATCCTTAGTGATAAAGTTGGATTGAGATCCAGAGTCAAGCAAAGCCCTGCATTCATGTGGTTTTCCTTGCTTGTCCTGGATTAATACGATCGCTGTTGATAAGAGCACATGCGAAGTGTTTGAGTGCGTTGATTGAGCTATCATTGTTATCGAGGGTGCTGTAGATGTTGAGGGAGTCACTGGTGTTGGTTCCTTGTTACTGTTGCTTGTTTGAGTTTGATTGCTGTTGTCCTGATGAAGTAGAGTGTGGTGTTTTCGCTGGCATTTTTTACAANTGTTAACCCGTTTATATAGTTTATTATGCAGAAGGTGATGATACTCTTTTTTTATAGGAGAAGACGAACTTGTTTTTTTTTTTAATGTAATAAATACGCGGCCAGTAATCTCGTGCCTTATTATAATATGCTTTAGAAATGACATATTGTTTATATTGTTTTATCAAATAAAGTATTTTCTACAAAATCGTTTACTTTGTTCATATTTATCGTTAGCGTCAAAAACATTAAGGAATAAAATATGTGAAAGGTATTTTCTTGACTACAAAACAAGAGAAAGCAAATTACCCTTAGTTTCATGACACGAAATTAAACTGTTAGGTATGTATAAAAATCTGAATCAAAATTATTTTTCCTTTTCTTTTTTATTTTATTAATCCTTTTTGCTATTTCTACACCATAACTGCTTCGTTAATATTGCTATATTTCTTCTTACAGTTTTGTTTGACAATTAACAGAATTCAATCAACATTTGGACAAAATATGTACACAACAGGTAAGTGAATAAGTGTATTTTTATATATCGTATTCAAATCTAAGAAGAGGCCTTCAGATTTTTGTAACTATCCCTTATGTCACAGCTCATTATTTATATCTTATAGTAGTAGGGATTCCAGAATAAAATAATTTAAGAATATTTTTATTTGCCTTGTAAACGGATTTTATAATGGAAGAAAATCCAAATTTAATATACGAGGGCATATTTATGTGAAGGGACTTTGTTGATACTACCTTAAACACGGTGGTGTATTTAGTATAATGCCGCCCCAACTAACCACCCCTCTAAAATTAAACAAACATTATTTTTTAATTCTAGTCTTGTGACAGCATCATAATAAAATGATAAAATCTTTTAATTATAACCTTGAGAAAATCCGACAACTTGAGCGAAACGTTGGCTATTGTTTAGAAATAAATAGATACCTTTATTAAAAACATTATGTTTTATAACTAATAAACTTAACACTTTCATTCTTCTTGCTTTACTGCTATTTTCTTCCTTCATAAGATTTCTCTCATCCTTTCTTTCCATTTTAATTTCCCATTTTTTTGTATCATTTCCTATTATTCCACAACTCTCAATAGTGTGTTTGAGCGTCTCTAGTTCCAATTTACACAAGTTGCATATTCTTTTCATTTCTTCTTTCAGTACCTTGTCGTCTCATTCTTACTTCTAAATATTACTGTTAAAACTAATTCGATTTTACTCTTTGCTCTTTCGTCTTTCAAATAATTTGTTTTTTTCTCCCTTTCTTTCCATATTTTCTTGTATACCTGCGTGAATTTTAAGTTTCTCATTTTTTCTCTTCTTTTTTGTTTGTCAATGTCTTTAATTAAACTTTCCAGCTATCTCCGTACACTTATGACTTTTCCAGTACCATATGTAGTGCGTGATTGCCCTTCCTCTTTTCATTATTTTTTTTTTCTTTTCTTTTTCCATTCTTCCCCTATTATTTTCATTTTTTCGATTTAGATATTTGATATGTTACCCTTAACTCTTATATACAGGGTACTTCAAAAAAATGTATACACACTTTGAACTTCCATAGAAAATTTATTTACCGTTCTACAAAGTTAAATTTCAGGAAAATAGAAAGCTGAAAGTCCAATGTAAATGAAACATAAATAACAAATGTTAATACTGTTCAAATTGGTGACCTACAGCATCAATACAATTCTGAGTACGAGTCACCACAGATTCTGTACATCGTATCAAAACGTGATACGTGAACCGGGATTTATGGGTAGCATCATTTGGTCGGATGAAGCCCAATTCAAACTTAATGGAACTGTCAATAGGCACAATTGTGTTTACTGGGGTGAAGAAAATCCTCACATTACAATTGAAAAAGCTGTAAATTTGCCTGGTGTAAATGTGTGGTGCGGTTTGTCTTCAAGGGGACTCATTGGACCTTTTCGATTTGAAGGCACTGTAACTGGTATTAATTACCTAACAATGCTTGCTGATTCCATATTTCCTGCCATTCGTGCATTATACGGTAATGATGATTTTTATTTTCAACAAGATGGTGCTCCGCCGCACTATCACAGGGACGTACGAGCTTACCTGGATCAAAATTTGTCGGGCCAGTGGATAGGACGCAGGGGGCCAATCGAGTTTCCAGCACGCTCTCCAGACCTTACACCACTGGATTTCTTCTTGTGGGGCACAGTAAAAGATGAGGTGTACAAACGTAAACCACGTAACCTAGACATTCTTTGGAATGAGATTCAAGCAGTGTGTAGAGAAATCTCATTGGACGTTTTGATACGATGTACAGAATCTGTGGTGACTCGTACTCAGAATTGTATTGATGCTGTAGGTCACCAATTTGAACAGTATTAACATTTGTTATTTATGTTTCATTTACATTGGACTTTCAGCTTTCTATTTTCCTGAAATTTAACTTTGTAGAACGGTAAATAAATTTTCTATGGAAGTTCAAAGTGTGTATACATTTTTTTGAAGCACCCTGTATTATTTTAATAATATATTGTCTTCTAAATTTAACACTTTTCCTTCGTAATTTAAAGCTCTTTCCGACTATTTTATGGCCAATTTTTCTGTTTTTGTTTCATCTTGTAATAGTTATTACGGTGTACTTCTATCTAATTTTAAAATTCATTCTATATGCTTCTTTCTTGTATGTCTTCAATTTCTTCCCACCCTATATTTACGCCCCGTACAATAATGTGCTCTCTACGAATGTCTCGAATAGGAACGTTCTTTTTTCCAACTCTCTTTGAGATTTTCTTTCTTCTATTCGCCATTCCTTTCCCATTACCCCTATTGCTTTTTTCTCAGTTTTTTTATGTGTCCATCTACCCCATTATTTTTTTGCCGTACGAATCCTGGGCAGTTAAACTTTGTAACTCCTTCGATTATTTTTCCCTCTCTTTAAATAAATAAATAACTGTTAACCCGCTTGTGGCGTTGATTTGAAACCGGGTGTAATATATGAATTTGCAAACATCTTGAACGCGGCGTTTAGGTATTTAATATAAAAATGAAGAAAGTCACGAACACTGTTGCAAACATGGTTTCTGAATGGCTTATAAATAACAAATTTCCCTACACTTTTTTTAAACAAGATTACCCAAAAATTCGGAATTTTCAAACAAGATTACCCAAAAATTCGGAAAAAATCTTGCAGGCAGTATTTACCTTCAATTAAAGTATTCTTTAGTATTCTATTAGCTTGACTAATTAGGTTGAACTTGCTGAAGATTATGGAAATTTAATATACGCGCATTGGATAATACGATCTTGTCTAATCTAATACTAATTTTTAGCAGATGATTTACCTCTTGACGTATCTATTTATTTCATCAGCTCCTATAAATAAATTATAACATATATATGTCAGAGAGACAGTTTTCTGCATATTCACACTCATGGAATTTTAAGACTCTATCTTCTATTCATTTATTCACACATACACGTGCGTAGATAAATATGTATACCAATAAAGTGAGATCAAATGTGAGGAAACTTGCGGTGGCACTTGCGGGATTTACATCCAAATTATTCTACACATAACTCAATCTCTGTCGTCCGTAATTCGTATTATTATTGAAGCAGATTATTCAATTATATCAGCCGCGCTTGCTGGCACGGTTGGTACAGCATCGGCATCACAAGAGCGCTGCAGATGCAGCAGCACCGCCGTCACACCGGCAGCCCGTATTTAACCAGCATTATTTATCTGCCGGTTGCCGTGAACAACTATCTAATAATAATACTCCAGTTTCATCAAC